TCTGTGAGTTTGTGGCCAGCCTGGTCTACATAGTGAGTTCCAGGACAGCTGGGGCTACAGGGAGACCCCGTCTCAAAAACAGCAAAAAAGAAAAAAAAAAAAGTTGAGTTGGAAGCAGATCATGGGGAGAGATACTCTCACATAATTCATGGGACAGTGAGTTGGTTTAGAAATTTCCAGAGGCAAATTGAAACACTGCATGGTCCCATTCTTTTTAAGCTCTGAAGTGAACGAAAATAGAAAAGTTGAATAATGATTTGTATGGGCACAAGTCCTGAGAGACACTCGTATTAAAGGACAAAACAGAAATTGAAGACACTCTTCAGAGGTCACTTTGACAATACTTAATAAAAATAGAACTAGCACAATTGCTTCTGGGTATGTATTCTGAGTGAATAACAGTCTAAAAGCAAAGGTTCGTCTTTAGCAAAGTGCACCTCAAGGATTGCAGCCTTGTTTGTAGCTTTAGTGATAAAAAGCCAAGAAGGCATTCACAGGCTCTGTTGATTAGTCCTGTTCATGTCCTTCATCAGAGAAGCTTCTCTTTGGAGTTGATGGCAGTTAGCTCAGGGAGTCATGTATGATCAAAGTGCAGACTCTGGAGTGCCCCGCCCCAAATGGGACTCTTACACCACTCTCCCCTCCAAGCTTCAGGAAACAGCTCAAAAGAGGGTAGAGAGAGTGCAAGAGCCAGAGTTGGGGAGGACAGCTATGAAACGGTGTCTTTTGGGTATGACTGGCAGTTGCACTTGTGAGCTCTCAACTGCAGTGGCTGCCTATACAAGATTTACACAAGATCAGTCTAGTCACTATTCCAGCATGGACTGCGGGAGGGCTTGCTCACAAGGCCCCACTCCTAGAATAAAATCTTCAGGCAGTAGATGACTGGGGATGGAGACTGTTTTCTTCAGGGGTAGGGCCGTGGTAATTTTCCTGTGTTAAAGCCCTACATCCACATAGGTGTGGACAATACTAATTTGACTCATTAAGTTGTATATATGTATGTATATGTATATATATGGAGAAAGGGAGCATAATGTTGGGGGGAGCTGGGAGGAGTTGGAGGTGGGGAGGGATGGATTTGATAAAAATGAAATGAGTTCATACATGAAGTAAAAAAAATAGCAAAGCAGCAGCCTAAGCCCTCAGTACCAACTAATTAGGGAACCAATTCCTGGCACCAATGGACTATTGCACAGCCGGCACTTTTTAATATTGTGAAAATGCTTGTAAAATATTAAGCTAAGTTAAGCTAGGATAAAAAACGATCTGAAGAACATATCGTCAAAAATATCTATGGAGGGCTGGGGGGCATGGTGGTGTAGGCCTTTCATAGCAGTGCTTAGGAGGTGGAAGCAGGCAGACCTCTGTGAGGTTGAGTCTCGCCAGGTCTACAGACGGGGTTCCCTGACAGCCAGGGGTACACTGTGGGGAAAAGAAAAGAGGGGGAGGGGAAGGGACGGGAGGGGAGGGCAGGGCAGAGAAAAAGGAAAGGAAAAAAATAAATCTAGGCAGGCACTGAAGTCACTACTTCAAAATATGAAGGGGAGTTTCTCCTGGATGGATTAACAGATGACTTGATCACCTTTTAGAATTTTTTTTTCTAAAACATTTCAGGAGCCTGCGTTTAATTTAGTTCAAAAGAGCCTCCGTTGTGTAGGCAGGTCAAGTGATAACCCCCAGGGAAGGCTGGAGCCCTTCTCGGGAAGCCTCCTGGTGTCTGTCCGGTGGGGCTTCCCGGAGGATGTCCGCGCATTCCGAATCTGGTTTCACCTCCATCCAACGGACATGACCCGCCGGATGGCCCGCTGCCCGGCTCGGCTTTGAGGGTCATCGAGTCGGTGTCACGCGAAGCCACAGCGCGCACGGGGGCCGTTCCGCCGAGCTGCCGGTCGCCGCTGGGGACGCGCGGTGGGCGGGGACCAGGCGCCGGGGCCACCGCCTCCGCAGGCCGGGGAGTCCCCGGGGCCCGGCGCGGGGAAGTCCCGGGCGCGGGTACAAGAGCGCGGGGCGGCGGTGGCGCAGCGCTCCAGCCATGTCGCGCGGCCTCCAGCTCCTGCTCCTCGGCTGCGGTACGGACCCCCGCGCCTGGCCGGTCGCCCCGCGCCTCCGGGGACCGCCGCGGTGGCCCGGCTCACGCCGCTCTCTCTCCCTCTCTTTGCAGCCTGCAGCCTGGCGCCAGCGATGGCGATGCGGGAGGTGACCGTGGCGTGCTCCGAGACTGCGGACTTGCCGTGCACCGCGCCGTGGGACCCGCAGCTCTCTTACGTCGCGTCCTGGGTCAAGGTAAGCGCGACCCGGCTGTCGCCTAGTGAGCCGCCCTTTGCGGGGGCAGCAGAAGCAGCAGGCTGAGGCTAGAGCCTCTGTGGACCCGCGGAGGGGGTGGGGGAGCGTCTCTCCGGCCGGGCTCGGGATCCCCAGCCTCTGACTCCCCTGTTCCAACGCGCTCTTGCCTCGCGGGCATCCAGGTCTCCCGCCCGCTTAGGTTAGTTCCCCGCCGGACCGCGATCAAGGTTGCTTGGCGGGAATGACGCCAGGCAGACGTTTGGAAGGAATGGATCCGTGGCGGAGGGCACCTGTGGGTGCGGTCAGAGGCCGCGGAGAAAGCAACTGGGGCCTAGATTTAGGCATCGGACAGGAGGCAGGTCCCCTGACTCCGGATTTCTTGTCTTGTGACCATGATGCCCTCAGAACAGGGGAAAGGGAGGGACTTTTGGGAGGAAAGCCACAGGGGTTAGCTAGGAGTGGTCCTTTAAGCCATGGCATACCCTTGGCATCATCCCCACCCGGCTCCTCCTTCCTCTGGCAACCCCCACGGGTCCAGCCAGGAGGACTTCCTTAGGAATTGGGGGAACCTGAGGCCCACACGTGGGGGAAACGCATCTCATCTCAGTCCCTACAGTGAGAAAGCTGAGCTGCAGAAGGCAAGGCTTTTGAAAGGTTCCTTTCAACTAGAGCGTTCTCAGACTCTGAGACTGAAATTCCTGCAGCAGCTTAAAGCCCAGCAGCTGCCGGTTCATAGTACCAGTTCTCTTGAAATGCAGTTACTGTGACAGGCCACCTCCATTTTAAGGCAAATGAAGTCTCCAGCATGTCTGGGTGGTTTGGTTTGCTGGGGAAAACCTCTGTATGTTCATAGCTTTTTACAAAACACGGGGCTTTCTTCTTCCCATCCTGAAGGATGCTGTAAGATCCTGCAGTATGTATGTCCCTCTAACCATGGAAAGCACATAGGAAGGGCATGCAAGCGTGTGTGTGTGTACACTCTGTGTGTGTTTTACAAGTGCATGTTTCCCCTTTAGCTGATTTCCTGGGCTTGGAGGTGTAGCTTGATGGAAAGTGTTTGCCTAGCATGCAAAAGGCACTGGGTTCAAGCCCTCCCCTCCCCCCAGCACCAAAAGAAAAAGTGAACTAATCAGTTCCTCATGGACATTGACTGCACCAATGTTTTGTGCATTCTGCCCAACACCCAGGGTCTGCCCTGTTATTCCAAGGTGCTCAGTGGATCTAAGCCGGCACCATGAGGGAGGTGCTGTTGAGGTCTGGAGACTTCCTTGTGTAGAACAGAACAGGACAGGGGTGGGGTGAGAAAGGTCAGTGGAGATACTTACTGCTGTTCATTTCTCCCTTCCTCACTGTCAGCTCAAGAGAACACGACTCCAAAATTGTTCCCAGAGTCAAAACAGTAGCCCCTTCAAGATATTGTAGAAATAGTATTTGAGTGCTCACCACATGTTAGACTGTGGGGATAAATATTTACATATGTAATATGTCCTCCACTTCTGTCCTCTCAATATGGAATTAAAAGGGTCGGAGCTATTCCTGGTCCTACTTCATAGGTGAGGAGACAGAGCCCAGGGGAGCAAACAAAGTGGGCTTTGAACTGAGTTGTCCCTTGGATTCCAGATCTTGAGTTGTTAGAAAACTATTGAGATGTCTTGGTTTTCTACCTTAATTATTTAGAGTGAAGAAAAGAACAGTGTCCCTGGCCTGACAGCCAGTGGATTTAGTTATCTCTGGAAGATGCAGAACATGAAATACCATCTCTCCCAGACTGTAATTAAAAAAAAAAGAAAGAAAGCATCATTAATATCCCCAGGGGAGTAATTAAAATGTACTCATGAAACAAGTAGATGAAATTTCAGACTGTGAAGTTCAAACAGTTGTCAAGTTAAATCTTCTCGCACAGGGTCGTTTGGAATGGTTCAGTAAATCATGGCAATTAGCCTTTGACCTCTTCTTTGGATGTCTGCGGATGATGTAACTTTGTAATGTATGTGCTTGTTTATTGGACACAGTTCTTGCAAGGGCTGCCCTGAAGGCCTCTTAAAAATTATTTCTAGAAAAAAAAACGGGAGGGGGTTGTGGTAGACTGCTTGCCTAGCATACATGAAGCTCTGGGTTCAATCCCTAGCACTGTATAAACTGATCGTACCTATAAGTCCAGTACTGGGGAGGTAGAGGGTAACCTGGGCTACATGAGACCCTGTCTCAAATAAAATGAAATATAAAATAATGAAATAAAAAGACAGCAGTCTATTCTCATTCTCCCTCTCTATCTCTCCCCATTCCTCCCTCCTCTTCCTCTCCCTCTCTTTTTCTCCCTTCTCTTTCCCTCTCCCCTCTCTGTCTTCTTCTCCCTCTCTCTCCCTCTCCCTTTCTCCATGGGGTTGGTGACTAGAATGACTGTGTTATGCCAATCCACTGAGAAGTACCTTGAGAGCAAAATGCAGTATTCCTTCCAGGACTTTTAGATGTTTCAATATGTTCTAGAGACATTGTTGTCTTCCAACAATTATACTTTTGCATACATGTTGCTTGTATGACAAAAGTTGATAGAGTTCTAGAAATAAGGTCAGTGGTAAAATACTGAAGGACCTCATTTTGTGGATGAAGCATCTTATCTTTTCACATAATTTTCTTGAAAAGTTGTCTCCAGGAAGCTGTGAGGTGGGGGGGTCTAACCCTGGAACCAAGGCTAACCTAGCTCCTCTCGCCTTCTGCTCTTGTCTCTGTCCTGTTTCTGTGGTGGTAGTAGGGTGGGGGGCTGAGTAGGCTGTGCACAAGGCAAGCAGAAGCCCTTGGAGTGGGGTTTCACTGTCTGCTACATGTAATCACTTCCTTACAGGCCTTCTGCATCTCAGTGATGGCTAGAATAATTTCAACATGACTTAAAATTCCATTTACCATTCAGTTTTCCAGCCTCACCCACTGGCCAGTTGGCACTAATGACTTGAACTTAAGAGACTCATGTAAGCCATACCTTAAAAAAAAATCATTTGCATGTTACCAAAAATCTAAAGAAGATGGAATCCTATTAGTGCTGTACAAACACTGATGGGTCGGCAGGAACAGTATCCAGTTTATTCTCTGTTTCCAAGATGTGGTGACAGGAGGAGGGAGGCTGGAATGGAGGGGCTTCATAACAGACATACACAAAAGATAAAAGGCAACAAATGCAGACAGCATTAATCCAGTTCCCACTAGCCAGCTTTTCCTTCTGTGGGCCAGTGCCCTAACTGGGATCCCCACCGTCTCCTCTTGCCCCCCCCCCTTTCCTTTCTTGTACCTTTAAAAGCAGGATTGATGGTGGAGAAGAAATGGAAAAATCAATAATTTATATCCTTTAGGATAGTAACTCAATTTAGCTTTTAAAGTTATGATAGATGGCATTTTTTGCGGGGGGGCGGAGTAGGTGTTTTGAGAAATATACAAATAGGCTTCAGTCCATCCCTCGTTTGTTGTTGTCCGTGACCTTTGTTTATATTATGGTAACAGAGGGTTTAGTCCAATGCATGTATACCAGATATAAGGCCACTCATGAAGGGCTATGTCTGTGCTTCATGGAGTGTCACTGTGCCCATGTTTGATCCCACAAAGCTGCACTAAGTTTGGAGAGAGAGCATAGCTCCAGACAGACTGCTTTGAGCACAGTTGTCTTCCTTCACTGCTAACGACGAGGGCTCATTTACCTAGATGCAGAGCCACACTGGATCATGCTAGGACCTTGACAACCTATGGTGAGGCAAAGTGAAAGAGGATATCTGATGTGGCCTCTGGGTGATGCTGCAGGGGTGGGGACAGCCATGCGTCAGAGGACACACTCTATTTAGATGATTTCCAAAGGAAGGGAGAAAGGGGAAGTAAGACGGTGATTTCAGAAAATAGGTCAGACTTGAACTTTGAGTTAGAAAAGCCCCAGCTGGGGCAGAGGGTGGGCTGACCAGCGAAGTGTTTGGTATCTGATGCTCATTCTGGCGGAACTGTTGGGGAGCAGGTTCAAGGCTAGTCACTAGGCTTGTCCTTGATTCACTAAGCTGCTGTCCTCCTTGTATTTGGTAACTCCTATTGAGTGGAGTTTTATTTCCTGACTCTTCCATTGTGTGTGATGGGGAACTTCAGGGGCTCTAAGAGTGACGTGCTTCAAGGGGGGCCAGAGTGGATGTCAGTGCTCAGGAGCCCACACAGGAGATAACAGGTAGTAGTTGATGTGCTTCCTTGATTCTCAAATGCCATCTGCTGAAACTGGATCTGGGAATGTGTTTTTAGGAGCAAAAGAAAACATTTACATGTTAAATTTAGAAGAACTGAGAATCTTAAATGCAAAAACCATATGTACATTAGTATCAAAGAAAAATCTGACTGTCCCCATTGGCATGTGTTCTCTTTGGATTGGAGGAATCACTTTTAGCTCAAACTATGAAGGACATACAGTTGGTTTTCTGATATCTTTTATATTTACACTGTGCTATTGCAAGTCCCAAATGTATGCCCAATTCTGGGCCTGGTAATAGCTACCTCAACATCAACATGGAGGGAAATGACTCAATCAGTAAATTGCCTGCTATGTAAGCATCAGGGCCTGAGTTCAGATCCCTAGCACACATGTAAAAGCCAGGTGCAGTGGCTGGGGTCTGTAACTGCAGTGCAAGGGGTGGAGACATGCGGATCCCTGAAGCTCATTGGTCAGTTGATGTAGCCAAGTTCGGGAACTCCAGGTTCACTGAGAGACCCTGTCTCAACAAATAAGGAAGACACATGATATTAACTCTTGACCTTCACACACATGCACACACATGTGCACACACGTGCACGCGCGTGCACACACACACACACATACAAATACAGAGGAAATTTTCCAGAGTCCTGAGACAGATCATGAAGGACCTTGAACGTCAAATGCTAATGTGCTGAGACTTATCCTTTCTACAGCAGTGAGCCATCGAAGAATTTCAGAACAGAAAATGATGTCACACAAAAGGAAAAGCACATTCCTCATGGCTATG